TGATAGTGCTCCTTATGTGCACACTCGCCAGTAGAGGCCACCAGCAACACATTTCATGAATGAAACAACAAGCTTACATGCTAATTACAGAGACATCCTATGATTGGAGTGAGTTCATGCGTCCTTAGCATTCCTAGATGAGAAACTCATCAGATCCGCAGGAGATCTTTTAATTTGCCACAAGTCCGCACGAGATTGGCAAAAACATAGTGACCAACTACAGTGTCATAATTCTGTGTTTATTATAGAACTGGCTTTTCCCACAGCATGCTGTTTTCATGATGCTTACATGTGTGCAAATATTTTTACCTCCAAAGGGTACCATTTCTATTATTTTCTGGAACTGACACTGTGCAATATAGCTCTTAATCAACGTGGCAAGAAACACTACTGTCGTGAGGGCTTGCTTGGTAGTCTGGTGCAGTAGAGTTGGATAGGAATTAAAAAAAAAATTAGATTCCTGCAACCCTACCACTTTGTGTTGTGATCCTGTTTTGAGCTTGTAAGCCAAGCAAGACTGTGCTCGTGTCTGCACTTGGATGGGAGACCTCCAAAAACCGTGACAATGAGCTAGTGCTGCATTCTGATGTAAGGAGCACCGAGCTGTTGGAGGTGCTGCTTGTCGGGTGAGGTGTGTAAACCCCGACGCCTCCTCATTCGGATTCATGAGAGAGTCCACGATTCTTTTCATAAGTGTTGGTGTTGCCGAGAAGTAGCCAAATTCCAGCTGCTGCTTCAAGCGGGTGCATTCTCCATAAGCTGGTACATTCTCCATATTGGCATTCTCAAGCATTCAAAAATGAGTGAGACTCCAAAAAATCATGGGGGTACCCCCCCCCCCAAATGTTGTTCTTTTTCATTGCCTTCTAATTTTTTGCTTTTAGGGTATACTCCGGTCATGTTTTCAAGCTTTTCTTTGCAAACTCAAGGGCTAGAAACTATTTTTTTTTCTTTGTGCTAGCTGAGATTCTCACATGTTCACTTGACTCCAGGAGATGGGGATTAAAGAAAAACACCAACCATCATAAGCCTCATGTAAAATCACAAGAATATTCTTCTTCACTTCATTTCTCAAATGGATCATGGTGGTATGAAGTCATGTGATATAGAGGAATGTGCATAGGATTGGGAATCAGGAGGTCCTGAATTGTCATCCTGATTCTCTGACTTGCTGTGTGACTTTGGCTATGTCACATCCACTCTTTCTGCTTCAGTTTCCCCATCTGCAAAATGAAAATAATACCTCACTGGGCAACTCATGTGTTTATAGTAACACAATACAATGAATAGCATGTAAAAAGAATGATTGTGCGCTTTAAACAGCGGCCATGCTTCTCCCAAGTGGCGGGTGAGGGGATCTCTATCTTAATTTCGTAGAGTGCCTTGGGGTTCTTTGGCATGAAAGGTGCTGTATGAATGTGCACTGCTTTGTTTTAGTTTTTAAACGAAGCCCCCCGCCCCCCCATGATTTCTATTAAAGTGATTGACAGAGAGCTCTAGCCAGACAGCAGGTGTTCATGCCCTTACAGCATTCAGATTTTTATTTCAGGAGCTTGCCAAACTTAAATGGCATGACAGTGTCCATCGTAGCAGCAGTTATGCCTGCCCATGTGTTCTTCCAGGCCGTTCTGTCTCCTTGCCCTCTGGCCCGTGACACAGAGGAATCTGTTGAACTGTATCGTACGCTTGTTCACTCTAAAAGCAGCCCTTGTGTTATCATCAACAGCACAGAACGTGAACTGAAGTGGAGGGAGATGCTGGCCCCGATTTATTTCTGTCTCTCCCTTCACTGGCAAACTGTGATCCAGGCAAAACTTTCACTAGGCAGAAATAAACAGTCATCACCACCACAGTGTCCGTAATTCAAGGGAATTTCCGGGCCTTCTCCTCGCAGCTCCAACAGTGATATCAATGATGGGAGAATTAATGTTGATTGCCACTGACATTTCTATCGCCATGTTGACTAACCCTTCTCAGAGCAGGTCTGGCTAATAGGCTGGTTAAGAATGCAGTGACCGGTCTACACTAGCGCTCCTGCTATTGATACCCCTGGTGTTAGTGCAAGGATGGTAAAACTTGAGAGGCAGCTATGTAGATAATGCCATAGCGTGAGCAACGTAACAAGGGGATAACGTGCCATGACTACTGTCCACTGAAAAATAAGGGAGTTCTGTCTCTGCAGTGAGATTAATAATTTAAAAAGGGAATTGTCTGTCAGTCGTTGCAAGAGGGAAGATGCACAGAAGCAGAGCTGGGCGAGTGCTGCAAAGAGTTTCATGTGAATGTCAGGTTTCAGAGGAGCCGCCGTGTTAGTCTGTATCCGCAAATAGAAAAGGAGGACTTGGGGCACCTTAGATTTGTTAGTCTCTAAGGTGCCCCAAGTCCTCCTTTTCTTTTTATGTAAATGTTAGCAATCCAGTAAATTCCTATGCCTGGGAATTCCTGATTCCTGCTAGGCCTTTGGGGTATGTCTACACTATGAAATTAGGTCAAATTTATAGAAGTCGAATTTTTAGAAAGCGATTTTATACAGTCGATTGTCTCCACTTAAAGCCATTAAGTCGGTGGAATGCGTCCACAGTACCGAGGTTGGCGTCGACTTCCGGAGCCTTGCACTGTGGGTAGCTATCCCACAGTTCCTGCAGTCTCCACCACCCATTAGAATTCTGGGTTGAAATCCCAATGCCTGATGGGGCAAAAAACATTGTTGCGGGTGGTTCTGGGTACGTGTTGTCAGGCCCCCATTCCCTCCCTCCCCTCCCTCCGTGAAAGCAATGGCAGACAATCGTTTTGCATGTTTTTTCCTGGGTTACCTGTACAGACGCCATACCATGGCAAGCATGGAGCCTGCTCAGCTCACCGTCACCGTATGTCTCCTGGGTGCTGGCAGACGTGGGACTGCATTGCTACACAGCAGCAGCTGATTGCCTTGTGGCAGCAGATAGTGCAGTACGACTGGTAACCGTCCTCGTCATCTCCTGCGTGCTCTTGGCCGGCCTTGGTCAGGTCAGTCGGGGCACCTGGGCAGACATGGGTGCTCCTGGCAGATCTCAGTGAGGTCTGTCAGGGGCACCTGCACATAAATAGGAGTGACTCAGGTCATTCTCTTCTTTAAGTTTTTGTCTAATGGAGATTCAGTCCTGCCTGGAATATTGGCAGAGGGATAGCTCGGTGGTTTGAGCATTGGCCTGCTAAACCTAGGGTTGTGAGCTCAATTCTTGAGGGGCCCAGTTCGGGCCCTGGCAATTTGGCCATCCTGGTGGCAATGGGGCAGGCTCATGCCATGGAACGCCGATTCTGGGCCCGGGGAACAAGCACAGACTGGTGGTACCGCAGACTATTGCAGGTCTGGGACGATTCCCAATGGCTGCGAAATTTTTGTATGCGTAAGGGCACTTTCATGGAACTTTGTGACTTGCTTTCCCCTGCCCTGAAGCGCCAGAATACCAAGATGAGAGCAGCCCTCACAGTTCAAAAACGAGTGGCGATAGCCCTCTGGAAGCTTGCAATGCCAGACAGCTACCGGTCAGTCGGGAATCAATTTGGAGTGGGCAAATCTACTGTGGGGGCTGCTGTGATGCAAGTAGCCGACGCAATTACTGAGCTGCTGCTATCTAGGGTAGTGACTCTGGGAAATGTGCAGGTTATAGTGGATGGCTTTGCTGCAATGGGATTCCCTAAGTGTGGTGGGGCGATAGACGGAACGCATATCCCTATCTTGGCACCGGAGCACTAAGCCGGCGAGTACATAAACCGCAAGGGGTACTTTTCAATAGTGCTGCAAGCTCTGGTGGATCACAAGGGACGTTTCACCAACATCAACGTGGGATGCCCAGGAAAGGTACATGACGCTCGCATCTTTAGGAACTCTGGTCTGTGAGAACAGCTGCAGCAAGGGACTTACTTTCCAGACCAGAAAATAACTGTTGGGGATGTTGAAATGCCTATATGTATCCTTGGGGACCCAGCCTACCCCTTAATGCCATGGCTCATGAAGCCGTACACAGGCAGCCTGAACAGTAGTCAGGAGCTGTTCAACTATAGGCTGAGCAAGTGCAGAATGGTGGTAGAATGTGCATTTGGACGTGTAAAAGTGCACTGGCGCAGATTTACTGACTCGGTTAGACCTCAGCGAAACCAATATTCCCATTGTTATTACTGCTTGCTGTGTGCACCACAATCTCTGTGAGAGTAAGGGGGAAGACGTTTATGGCAGGGTGGGAGGTTGAGGCAAATCGCCTGGCCGCTGATTACACGCAGCCAGACACCAGGGTGGTTAGAAGAGCACAGCAGGGCACGCTGTGCATCAGAGAAGCTTTGAAAACCAGTTTCATGACTGGCCAGGCTACGGTGTGACAGTTCTGTTTGTTTGTTGATGAAAACCCACCCCATTGTTTCACTCTACTTCCCTGTAAGCCAACTGCCCTCCCCTCCCCACTTTGATCACCACTTGTAGAGGCAATAAAGTCATTGTTATTTCAAATTCATGCATTCTTTATTAATTCGTCACACAAATGGGGGGATAACTGCCAAGGTAGCCTGGGAGGGGTGGGGGAGGAGGTAAGGATGGAAGGACAAGGCCACACTGCACTTCAAAACTTATTGAATGCCAGCTTTCTGTTGCTTGGGCAGTCCTCTGGAGTGGAGTGGTTGGGTGCCCAGAGTCCCCCCACACCGCATTCTTGGGTGTCTGGGTGAGGAGGCTATGGAACTTGGGGAGGAGGGCGGTTTGTTACACAGGGGCTGCCGTGGTGATCTGTGCTCCTGCTGCCTTTCCAGCACCTCAACCATACGCCAGAGCATATCAGTTTGATCCTCCAGTAGCCTCAGCATTGCATCCTGCCTCCTTTCCTCTCGCTAATCCCTCCTCTCCTCGGGTTCATTTTGTGCTTTCCTGGACTCTGACATTGTCTCCCGCAACGCATTGTGCTGGGCTCTTTCAGCATTGGAGGCCTGTATGAGCTCAGAGAACATTTCATTGTGAGTGTGTTTTTTTCAGCTTCTAATCTTTGACAGCCTCTGGGACAGCGATGATAGGGGGAGCTTTGAAACATTTGCAGCTGCGGGAGGGGAAAAAAGGGAGATTAGTCTCTAAAATGTCGTCTCTTTTCTTTTAAAGAACAATGGGTAGACTCTTTCACGGTGAACCAAGCTATTAACATTACATAGCATGTGTGGTTTCTTTACGAGGTCGCATTTTGCCTCTTCTATCGAGGGCCTGCCCGTATGGTGTGAGAGATCACACATGCAGGGCCGGCGGGCAGCAGATTTCAGCTTGTAGGCAGACACGGTAAGCCACAGTCTTTTGGCTTCTTTAACCTTCCTAACTTGTGGGAATGGTTTCAAACAGCAGCACCCTCATTTCACATACCAAGCACCCATTGGGTTAGCCCTTTAAAAGGAGGGGGCTTCGGTTTTCGGGTTATCGTGCAGCTAACAAACCCAACTAATCCCCCCCACACCCCCCCCAATCCTCTGGGATGATCGCTTCACCCCTCCCCCGATCGCGTGGGTAACAGCGGGGATGATTTCCGTTCAGCCACAGGCAAACAGCTCAGCAGGAACAGCCACCTCTGAATGTCCCCTTAATAAAATTCTCCTACTTCAATCAGGTGACCATGAATTATATCAGTCTCTTGAGGATAACACAGAGAGATAAAGAACGGATGTTGCTTGAATGCCAGCAAACACTGGGACCATATGCTGCCATGCTTTGTTATGCAATGATTCCAGACTACGTGCGGCTGGCCTGCCATGGTAAAGTGTCCTACCATGGAGGACGGAATAAGGCTGCCTGCCCCAGAAACCTTTTGCAAAGGCTTTGGGAGTACATCCAGGAGAGCTTCATTGAAATGTCCCTGGAGGATTTCCGCTCCATCCCCATACACGTTAACAGACTTTTCCAGTAGCTGTACTGGCTGCGAATGCATCCCAAGTCTTCAGGGCAAAAATTAATCATTAAACACGCTTGCTTTTAAACCGTGTATTATATTTACAAAGGTACACTCACCAGAGCTGCCTTCTCCGCCTTCAAGGTCTGGGAGCCCGGGTTGGGAGGGTAGTGGCTCCAAAGTGATAAACAGTTCCTGGCTGTCAGGGAGAACGGTTTCTCCGCTTGCCTGGTGTGCGCTTTCATCTTCCTCGTCCCAAAAATCCTCATCCCTGTTGCGTGAGACCCCCCTTGCAGGAGTCCATGTACGGGGTGGGACAGTGGTAGGGGCACCCCCTACAATTGCATGCAGCTCATCATAGAAGCGGCTTGTCTGGGGCTCTGACCCCAAGCGGGCATTTGCCTCTTGGGTTTTTTGGTAGGCTTGCCTGAGCTCCTTCAGTTTCACTCGGCACTGTTGCGGGTCCCTGTGATATCCTTTGTCCTTCATGCCCTTGGAGATTTTTTTCAAATATTTTGGCATTTCGTCTTTTGGAACGGAGTTCTGATAGCATGGATTCATCTCCCCATACAGCGATCAGATCCATTACCTCCCGTATGGTCCATGCTGGAGCTCTTTTCCAATTCTGGGACTCCATGGTCACCTGTGCTGAAGAGCTCTGCATGGTCACCTCTGCTGATGAGCTCACCACACTGGCCAAACAGGAAATGAAATTCAAAAGTTCGTGGGGCTTTTCCTGTCTACCTGGCCTGTGCATCTGAATTGAGAGTGCTGTCCAGAGTGGTCACAATGGAGCACTCTGGGATAGCTCCCGGAGGCCAATACTGTCAAATTGTGTCCACACTACCCCAAATTCGACCCAGCGGTTGATTTTAGTGCTAATCCGCTTGTTGGGGAGGAGTACAGAAACCGGTTTTAAGAGCCCTTAAAGTCAGAAAAAATGGCTTTGTCGTGTGGACGAGTGCAGGGCTAAACCAATCTAATGCTGCTAAATCTGACCTAAACTCGTAGTGTAGACCAGGGCTTAGTATTCAGCCTGTAGTACCAGGCAGTGTCACTGGCATGCCTGCAGCTAGTCACAGAGAGCAAATGTTCTCATTTGCACGTGTAAGTATTTGTACAGAAAATGTTTATTTGCTCATCCAATTAAGGGTCAGAAACAATACCATGTGACTTATCTGACTAATTGCAGCTAACTGCAGCTGGAGTGTTGGCTGTGCATTGAATACTTGCGGCGAGCATCTGTAGTCAACAAAACCTGCACCAAACCCCGCAAATAAATTTGATTAATGAATTAAAATCTGGTGCAAATTGCTCGCTACTGCCCTGCAAGCAGAAAAAGCAGCTCTTTGTCAGATCATAAATTATCCATTGCGGAGTCATAGTTTTTAAAGCTAAAAGGGACCTTTAGGATCTCATAATCTGACCTCCTGCATAGCACAAGCCATGGAATTTCACCCCATGACCTCCACATCGATAACTTGTGGGCAACCCGTTTGCTCAGCTCGGTAGGGAATGCTATTCATCTGGCACCAAACCAAAATGGAAGTCGGGCTCCATCCTCCTCTCTCTTGCTTCCTACTACAGCATTGTTCCTCTGCAGGGCGATTACTCCAGCTGCCCACAATCATTAAATGCCAACCAAGTACTGTGGGCTGCATGCAGCAACGCACGCTCTGTCTCCTATGGGTAAGGGAGGGCTGCAGCCAGTGGTATCAGTGGCTGTTTTTCATTCTAAGTTCTTCTATAGAAGCAGGGGGGGAATCCCAAAAGCTGTGGGAGTCCCAACATCTCTTAGGGCCAGCCTGCAAAGTCCTTGCTCCTACTGATGGAGAGCTGCTCACATGAAGAGTCTCATTGGTTTCAGTGGAATCCCAAGTAAACACTGGCCGGTGTGAGTCGCAGCTCTCCAGCCTGGCCCTGTGGGTGTATCTTTCCTCCTGGTTCAGTGCACACTCCCTTTAATCAAGCGGAGTGACATGTACCCAGGACAATGCTGCTGCTGAGGGTTTTGGCGTGATGGTTTCAGGTTTCACTGCTGTGGTTTATCGGCTGAATCAAGCACATTGTTAGACTGTGGGGATACCGGTTTGTTGGTTTTGTTGGGTTTTTAAAGCTCAATCAATCAGAGAGTGGAGTGAGAGGTTTCTGCGGTTTAGCCAGCGGGACATTGTTCAAGGTCTCTGAAGTTCCATGTTGCATTGAGTAGGATCTTCGCGTACTCTAGAGAGGAATAAAACGGCTTCCCAAGAGTGCAAAAACGGTAATAAGCAGGACGCGTCTCTGGAGACCTTCTGCCCAGGGAGTCCCCAGTGCAAATGCGAGTGGCGAGAGCTGGTGGAATCTGCCACAATTTGTTTCCAGTGGAGTTGCCACAGTTTAGGCCATGTCCCTCTCGGGATGGCCAGGATCTCAGACACGCTGAATAGGCAGCGCTAATTTAGGCTCTGCACTTGTACCCCGTGGAGGAGACGCTGGCCGCCCGCAGAAACACCCCTGCAAGGACCAAGGGGCGGCCCAGATAGGCTGGGTGCTTCTGCTCAGCTTTCTGTTGAATCTGTATAGATCTCTGGACACCTGATGGGTAACACCCTGAAATCCACTGCGTGACAATAAATAGCAAACGCACAAAGATTCACAAGGTGGTGGTGGTGGGGAATCACCTGCTACAGGCCAGACTGTGCTGTCCCTCATCCTGCTGGATCCCGAGCTCCTGGGAGACTGCTGTTCCTTATTCCTGGAGTATTCAAACCAGGGGCCTGCTCCAGGCACAGGGTGCTACTCTGCAGCAGTAAGGATGCCCAGTGTGTGGCCTTCGTTGGAAGGGGCAGGGCTGCTGCCTGCTGCTTCGCCCTTGAAGTGCCCGCTGAATGAGTGCTGCTTGCCCCCTGTCTGAGCCTGGGCATGAGACTCTGCTAGGGCAGGGCCTGCGGCTTTTCCTTATCGCTCCCTTCCCCCAGCCACGCTCAGCATTTTGGCTTTTCTCCTGGAGGGCCCAGGATTTCCCCGCGGTGACACCCTCTGATCCCACTTCCTCAGCCCGAACAGCTGGAGCGGGCTCCCCTTCCAGCCCTCAGCCTGCTGCCCGCAACCTGTCGAAATCAGTGCTTGGGGGAGAGGAGAGGCCTGCCAGGAGCAGGGGCCGCTGTCTGGCTGAAATCAGGAGTTTGGGGCGGAGGGGGGGGGATAAAGTCCCTTTAAGCCCCTTGACTTGTGAGCTCTGTCTGACATCACCCGGCCGGGGCGGGGCCTGCCTGCTAGTTACTGTTACTCTGCATCACTTCCTCGCTGCCACCCCGCTTACGGTTACGGCGCCGAGCTGCAGCTGTAGGTGCAAAGTGGATCCCCCTCGCGGGGTGTGTGTGTGTGTGTGTGTTCCGGCTACTCCTGCTCCACAAAGCCCCCTCGGGGAGGAGGGGGGAGGGAAGGCTTTCAGGCTGGAGCTGCCTTTTTCATGGCTTTTCTCCCCCACGATGAGATCCAGAACTCGGCCCCCAAGAGACTCTACTCCAGGTAGGAGAGGGCTTCACTGGCAGCTGTTGACGGTGCCCCCCCCCCCCCCACCCCGCGGCAGGGGCCGTGGCTCGCCCCCAGGGCGGTCTCCCAGCCCCTCCCGTTGCGGCGTCCCAGTGTCCGCTGCGATCACCCGCACGCGGGGCCAGAGGAAAAGTTCTCCGGCTTCGGAGAGCCGCGAGGGTCGCCCAGGGGTGGGCGATGCTTCACGCCGCAGCTCGCCGGTTAAAGCAGCCAGGCGCCCCCGGCCGTGGGCTTCCCCGGGCTGGAGTCGAGCGGCGGAGACCCCAGACCGGCCGCCGGGCTTCGCAGCCGCTGGCTCATCGCTGCTCCGTCCCTTGCAGCTGTGAGCGCCTGGGCGGGAGCGAGGGGCCGGCTCCTGTCGTCGACGCTCACCCTCGGCTTGCAGCGGGCGGGGGTGGGGGGGTCTCTGCAGCCCAGCCCGCGACTCTGTGTCGAAGCGAAACCCCAGGGTCAGCTAGGTGCACACGGGACTGCAGTGAGCCGGTTTGCACCGGGTTTCTCTTCCGTGCGGGGTTCCGGGGGCGCAGCGCCGCCTGGCTGTGGCTGGAAAGGCCCCCTGGGGTCGTGTCTTTTGCTTGCGTCCCTTGGTGTAAACCCTCCTCGTCGAAAACGGAGCCGGCTTTTAGCAAACGCTGCTATTGATCTTCCCGGCTCTGGCGCAGACGGGCTTAGAGGGGGAAGCATCTCCTCCCTGGCATTGGTTTATCTCGCCCCCGTTCAGAAGGGTGTGTGTACACACATACACACACGCAGTTGATGCCCACATGGGCATCGGGGGGATTGAACCAGAGACCTTTAGTGCTAGAAGCAGGAGGTTCCCCCTACTGGAGCTGACCGGAGGATGGCGGTTCCTTTAGAGGTTTAATTCCTTACTATGGAACAAGCCCCTGCTGTGTCTGATTCAGCCTGATCTGGGATGTCCAGCTCTGCTGAGACTGGGGCAAAATGGGTATTTGAATTTCACTCTCCCAGGCCAGACCCCTAGCCTCAGAGCTAGAGAGTCCCTCTTGAAAACACTGTTGAAACCAATATGTTTCAGCTGCCTGACAAAAGTTCATTTAGTTGAAAATGTTCTCACCAGCTGTAGCCTCTACCCCCTGGAGCTGAAGGAGCAGCTCCATTAGCCAGCAGCTGTAGTGGATTCTTATCCTCTTGACTAGGGAGGGACAGAGGCCCACAGTGTGGGTTACCAGTGCATCTGGGAGGGGAATCATGTGAAAAGATGGTCTGATGCTTGATTCTGTATAGACCAGTGCTGCTTTTGCAAACATGTAGCAAAGTAGGGCCCTGCTCTGAGTAGCTTACGGTCTATTTCAGGTGGCAAAGGGTACACAGGAGGACTGCAATTCATAACGCGCACTGAGGATTCTGGGTGCAAAAATAAGTGGAGGAGGGTTGGCTAGAAATGGGTTTTCCGGAGTGTTTTGTAAGAGGAGAGGAAGTGCTGGTGTGTGGGAAGTGAGAGGCTGTTACTCTCATGGGGGCACAGAAAGTGTAAAGATAAAAGCAGGAGAGAGAATACTGTGCCCCTCATGGTAGAGAAAAGCTATGACATGGCTGTAATTAACATACAGGGGATTCTTTACTGAAGCTGCTGGCCACACAGACCCTGTAGTTCTCCTTGGTTCTCTAGCACAATTAGTTAGTCGCTGTAGGAGCAACTTAGCATCATGCTAAGATTTTGCCTGGACCAAGCAGTTGTGGATGGGACTATTAGTTACATTACACATTCAGAGCAGAGGCAGATTTGCCCAAACCCCAGTCTCAAAGCGAAAAATGGATGCCACACATGTAAAAGTAGAGAATGTTCTCATGAACCCCATGCAAACTGAAACAGCTGTGTTTTCCCAGCTCTGGTCCTGCCTGTTACTTGAACCAAATCAAAGAAGTCTAGTGTGGAGAAAGTTCATGACCTTAAGATATTTCTGTGTTGCTATCAATATTATCTGCATTTCAGATTCTCTCCAGTAATGGGACACAGTCTGTGCAATATCTGGAATTTTAAAAAAAATTCCCTCTAACCATACACAATATGGTGTTTTTTCCATTGGCCCCTCTTTGATACATGCTTTACACAAAAAGAAAAGGAGTACTTTTGGCACCTTAGAGACTAACCAATTTATTTGAGCATAAGCTTTCGTGAGCTACAGCTCACTTTATCGGATGCATACTGTGGAAACTGCAGAAGACATTATATACACAGAGACCATGAAACAATACCTCCTCCCATCCCACTCTCCTGCTGGTAATAGCTTATCTAAAGTGATCACTCTCCTTACAATGTGTATGATAATCAAGTTGGGCCATTTCCAGCATAAATCCAGGTTTTCTCACACTCCCTCCCCCAAAAACACACACACACACTCACTCTCCTGCTGGTAATAGCTTATCCAAAGTGACCACTCTCCCTACAATAAGAAAAGGAGTACTTGTGGCACCTTAGAGACTAACCAATTTATTTGAGCATGAGCTTTCGTGAGCTACAGTAAACATCCACGGTAAACATCTGATGAAGTGAGCTGTAGCTCACGAAAGCTCATGCTCAAATAAATTGGTTAGTCTCTAAGGTGCCACAAGTACTCCTTTTCTTATTGTAGGGAGAGTGGTCACTTTGGATAAGCTATTACCAGCAGGAGAGTGAGTGTGTGTGTGTGTTTTTGGGGGAGGGAGTGTGAGAAAACCTGGATTTATGCTGGAAATGGCCCAACTTGATTATCATACACATTGTAAGGAGAGTGATCACTTTAGATAAGCTATTACCAGCAGGAGAGTGGGGTGGGAGGAGGTATTGTTTCATGGTCTCTGTGTATATAATGTCTTCTGCAGTTTCCACAGTATGTATCTGATGAAGTGAGCTGTAGCTCACGAAAGCTTATGCTCAAATAAATTGGTTAGTCTCTAAGGTGCCACAAGTCCTCCTTTTCTTTTTGCAAATACAGACTAACACGGCTGTTACTCTGAAACATGCTTTACACAATAATTCAACCTAGCAATGAAAGGGCTATTTGTCTGATTCTATTGAATATGGGTTGAAGAGAGCACTAGGTGCCTGTTTAGGTTGTTTTTTTTTTCTTCCCCCTGTTGACCACCAGCTGCTGGTAACAGCCAAAAGAGAATGCACTGTTGCAACAAATAGTTTAGCCTACCCCTGTTTTAGGCTGGGGTTGTGGAAATGTATACTACCTTCTAAGCAGGTTAGAGTCAATCTCTCTTACTTCTTGCAAACCTTTTAGTTTAAATAAACTTTAATCATTTTTGTGAAGGAAATCCAAGTGGGCGTTTTGCGACTCTTTAATACATGCCCACCCCTGCATGGTTGCTGCACAACTGCTAATTCAGGGAGGGAAAGGAGAGGTGGGTAGATGCCCCACCTCTTACACATGGATTCATCTAGACAGCTCTCAGGAAAGAGATGAGCTGCTAAAATCCCCAGCAAACGAAATTTGACCACTTCAGCTGAGTTTAGCTCTGCGTTTTTGGGATTGCTTGAACTCGGACTACGAGGACTGTGAAATTCCCACAAACCGTGACAGCTGTGACTGAATGTCGTATCCCTGCTGGGAGAATATGCCATGCTGCAGCCTCGAGACCATCCTTCTGCGCCTGACCTACATGCTTTGTGCACCCTAAACTCCCATGGGCTTCCAGGGGAGTCTCAGATGCTGGTGGAATGTGGCCATGTCTTTTGTGCTCCAGGCTCATTGAGTGTGACTGGGACTGTGACCTTAAGCACTATGTAAGAGCTCAGACAAGGACTGAAAGTGACCAGGGATCCTGGATCGTGATTTGTGGTGGATACTGTGGATCAGACTCCTCCTTGGGGTAGGGGAGGGGGCGGGTGTCCTCTGAAACCCCAAAACTTAAAGGCTTTCTGCTTTAACAGGCCATTCTGCAGATTGATGAGGCTGTGTGTGAGAGAGGTCGGCATGTTCTTGGGAAAGCAGCAGCATTGAATTCACATCACGGGCCCATTACAAGTCCGGCATGGAGAGGACATTAGCTAACAGTGCACTCAGATCAGAAACGAACAAAGCTGGCACGAAGGCTTGGATAAAAGATCACCCTCCCCAGTGCTGCCTGTTTGAAGAGACTCATACAGACTCCAAAGCATTTAGAAATGTTCCTGATTTGCCCTGAGCATGGCATGAACAGCATCCAGCTCATTTAGTGTCAATCCAGCGTTTACCTGACCTATGTGTGTGGGGGGCGGGCAATAGGTATATCAGGGGCCCTCAAAGCATCCTGGTTCTTCCCCTTAATGAAGGCGCCCTATTATGATAGACTCATGGGCTGCATTTTGCCAAAGCCAGTAGGAGCTGAGGTAGCTCAGCACCGGCAAATCGGGCAATATGAAGTGTGTTTGGAAAGTGTTTTAACAGAGCAGGGGAAAGGGAGCTAGTGTTCTGGATTTACTAATCCATTGGGGGGAAGGCCTGTGATCTGAGGGCCCCAAGCACAGCACGGAGAACCTGAGCTCTCCTCCCTGTGCTGACATGGACTCACTCTGTGACCCTTGTGCAAGTCACAGTTCCTCCATGCCTCAGTTTCCCCATTGGTAAATGAGACTAATGAACCATACCTCAGAGGTGGCATGAGGCTTGATTAGAGGCTGTGCTCCTTACTTGGATACATTTTTACTGCAGCCAGCCAGAGTCTGACCTGAGCAAATGTGGCAGGGTGGCCCTGCAGGAGCGTTGATACAGATTGCCTTTTCTGTGCAGCGCTGCCCTTTTGAAGAGACCTTGTGTAATCACTCACCTTTGTACTGCTAGTCATGGTAATGATAGATGGTGTGGGCTGGCTGCTTGCTCCATAAATCTGAGCA